ACAACATCAACTGGCATGACCAGCTGAAGCCGTTGTGTTCTTTTGCACCACGACCCGTGCGGCGTGGCATGCAGTAGGGCTCAGCTGCATGTCAGCCTCCCGTACCCGTCCGGCAACCCTTGGCGGCAAACTGTCGCGAAAGCATGTGAGTGTCCCCAGAAGCGAGGCGGTGGGTCTCAAGGCCGCCGTGGTGGGCTCGTGGAGAGGTCGATACTGTGGCACACGTCTGGCGTGGGGAAACTGGAATTGGACACAGCAGCATCGTTGGCTCGCACGCGACCAGCCACTTTCCACATATTTCGCATCCTTGATTGGCATTCCGCGCCATCTTTATTGACGGGTGGGATTGTACTTGTTTATCTCGACGTATCGCATGTTGTGCAATTCAAGCACGTTTCGTAGGATGCGAAAACCCGCCGGCCCAATGGCTGCGCTCCGAAGCCGGAGCCCTGACTACGCGTTTGGAGTAACCTAGGAGCGGATCATTGGTGCATCGCGCCCTATCAATTCTCCGACGGGCTTGTCTTGCTGATTCTATAGTGGATGTCCTGCTTGGTGTAAGAGCGAGTCAGCTTGGCTACTCTTTCTGTTCCTTCATTGACGTGTGCCTCTTCACTACCATGCTGGGCAATACTGTTGGCGGGACGGGAGCTCAACTAGAGACGGCGACTTGTGGCAGACGGCGCAGCGAGTGCGCCACCGATGCTGTCACAATTAATTCATTCGAGATACACGGATCGGTCGATTCGCTTCGTACCTGAGCGTGGCTGGGAACAGTCGCAAACCTTACATCGCTCACGACTGTTTTCAGAGCATACCTCACGCCCTATTCAGCGTCCTTCATGAACTTGTGCAACGGAAGTAAGCTTGCGGTTGCTCAAACCTCATCCGTCAGACTAGCGACAGCAAACACGCCGAAGATATACACGGTGCACAACGTATCCGTCGCACAAAAGTCGAACGAGTGTCGACGTAGCACATGCTGCATGCGAGTCTCACGATCATTCCACCGCTCTTTGAGACGCCGTTTCTGTGGCACACTGCAGAAGTGAAAACGTCAAGAATAGAGTGTCGTTGTTCTAACCGGCCATGCATATGGTTTTCCTAGTGAAGCTCTATGCGGTCAGCTTACAATAGCGCCGGAATTGACAATCCCAAGCCTGAAACTGTAAGCGTCTATAACACCGAGAACGCATGTTCCTCTACGAACAAGACATTTCCCTCCAGTCACAATAGACTCTTCGGAACTTCTCAGCGCAAAGTACTTTCTGCACTTTAACATGCCCAGTCAGTCCGACCCTACCCAACTAACCACACCCTCCCCTACACAGAAGACCCCCCATCAATCGAAATATTCTGCCCCGTAATACTCCTACTAAGCGCCAGCACCCTGACCTGCTCCGCACAATCCTCCACCGTCGCCAACCTCTTCAACTTGGTATTCTGAACTGCCGCCTCCCTTTTCTTCTCCGGAAACTTGAGTCCCCACTCCGTAAGCAACATACCAGGACTAATACTATTCACCCTTATCCTGGGCGCAAGAATAACAGCCAAGCTCTTCGCAAGATGTATCTGCGCCGCCTTCGTAACAGCATACGGCACGCTACTCCCACTGGGCTTTACCCCGGCTACACTCGCTGTGGAGATGAATGTGCCTTCGGTGGTGGCTAGGGCGTCTTTCGCGGCGTAGGCGAGCCACATGTGTGTTTTTACGTTCATGGTGAAGCACTTGTCCCAGTCTTCGTCGTTTATCTGTTGCTCGATGTCGGTGAAGGTGGTCATGCGGGTCCAGCCGGCGTTTGAGACGACGACGTCTAGGCGGCCCATTTTTTCGATGGTTTCTTGGACGAGGTTTTGGACGGAGGGTTTCGAGGACATGTCGGCTTGGATGAGGTGGAAACGGGGGGTGCATGAGGAGGAGGGGCCGGGGATGGAGGAGAGCTCTTTCATGAGCGTGTTGGCGCGGTCGGAGTTTGAGGAGTAGTTTATCACCTGGGAATGTTAATTGGTGCTCGTGAAACTAACATATCGGTAAGCATGTGAATGTAGGTTTGTATACGTACTACACGGAAGTCTGGTGCAAATACACGTGCAATTTGGGCGCCCAGACCTGCTGAGCTGGCGGTGATGAGTGCGACTTTCGTGGTCGCCATTGTGAGTTCTTGAAAGTATGAGAAGACGATAGTAAAGTTGGATGATGCTATACGTAGCAGAGAGCAACTGCTCCATATGTATCACCGCGGGGTGGACGCGGGGTTCCGCCATTGGATGCGGGTGCGGAACCATTCCGATGTGGACCCCTCCACCTCTCTTTGTTCTCTAATGTCTTCTGCTTTACTTCTTCATCTCAGCGCAAGTATGGATGACACCTTGCCATCACGATCGATGCTTATCATAAGTCCTCCGAGCTTCTCTTCTCATTGAGAGCTACTGCATCCTATTCATGGGAATCCAAGCTCCTTACATACCTGAACGAAGCTCGTCATCGCATCACAGCTCAGTTTTCTCCATCTCAGCAAACACACCCAGTTCATCAGCGAGAGAACATACATCCCGTCCTCTTCGCTCTCAACTCATCTCTCGTATTCCGCATCTCGGCATCACCCTTCCCCACAAGCTCTGAAGGACCAAGCTCATGGATCCGATATCCCTCTGGATGATATCGTTCGTCGCCTGGGACGACACCCCCAACAATTCGCAGTAGCAAAGCGTTTGGACCCCATCTCTTCATAAACGACGGCTTGACATACCACGGTCTGTCGATATATTGACCAGCATGAGCGCGGCCAGTGCGCTCGTCGATTTTTGTGAACCAGTCCGGGCGTAGGAAGTACGGGCGAGGGAGGAAGAAGTTTCGGAGCAAGAACTTGCGAATCTCAACTAATAGGTCAAGAGCTTGGTAGTAGATAGCAGGGGGTTTCTGTATGCTGGTAGTGGTCAGCAACGTGGGTCAAGTAAGTGAGAGCTCCATCTTCCACTCACTTCATCGCTTTCCGCAAGCGCGGCTCGAGTAACATGTGTGCCACGGTAAAGCTGAAAGGCTTGAGAGCGGAAGGTACATTGAATAAGGCGACATCGAAGGTACCACGACCAAGTGTTGCGTTCGTATCAGCAGTCACCATGTTCTGGGCCTCGTATGCCAAACTCCATGCTTCTACCTCCTCAAGCCAATGGAATCCGTCGCGCCATCCTTCACTCGCTGAAGGTAGAGTATCGTACGATATCTTCATCGCCTCACCCATATCCTTCCAGTATACACCCATGGCACATCTCTCGAAGTCTGTCACAGTTCGCCACTCGTATCTGGCAGTCCACCTGATAGGTTCAAGAACGAAGAGGCTGAGCGTATACAACATATCGTCGTTTGATATCTTCCCGGCTTTGATATACCGACTATGGAGATAGTTCATTCGTGCTATGCCGCTGATGGCCCGTTCAGAATCGGGTTTGTTGATAATTGCCTCGGTCATGATAGTAGCAGTATCAGCAGCACGTTTCGATGCTGTTTCCGGGCATGATAGTTGTCCTGTTGCGACCAGCAGTTTTGAGATACTGGGGATGCCATAAGTTTTGAAAAGGGCGAAGAACGTGGAAGTTTGGAACACCACTGGGAACTCGAGTTCAGCGAGGGAAACGTGTACTGAATGCGCATCTTTAACAGTCATGCGACTCCATGAAGAGCGATCGGGGTACTGGGTTGTTTGTCAGCCTTGCGGGATTGGAAGTGTTGATAGTATTGCTTTTACATTCAAGCGGTGAGTGAGCCCATCGCGACGCCTATACCGGAGAGTGCGAACGAGAAGCCAGTAGGCGCTGACGATGCTGAGTATCCAGAAACTTAGACTTGATGGAAGGTGCAGCGTGTTTGTGTGACTTGATGACGTCGAGTTCGTCGTTTGATCTGTGTATATTTCCGACATTGCAGCTTGATTCTGTGGATCAATACCAGACGCGGCTGAGTTTGAGGAAGCTGAGGTTGACATTGCAAATGATGTTCAGCCGTACTTAACTAAGGTAGCGGTTGGTGCACTTGTGGGCGGAGGCTGAGGCACAGTCGCGCTATGCCAGTCTAGGTAAAGTGGCACGCCGTGTGTTCCCACTGTGCGTCCTCAGGGTCCGTCCGCGGACTGCGATTGCATCATGTACGACGGCAATTGTCTCCGGTAGAACACAAAACCTTCGAATATCCACGCTCGGCCGCTGCAATTCGAGGTGTTGACTCATTCCTATCCTAGGATTCAATTTACCCTCCGTTTCGTCAGTCATATCTAGAACGCGACATGCAATGTGTAGATTTCGATTATCGTTCATAGTAATGCCTTCAGTACCTAAATATCCTTCTTGGTCCTCGCCAGGACATCTTCTTTTTTCCCCGCGCCTCACACGTAGGGAAGGTGAGATGTGGCGGCTGACTACAACCTCGCAAGGGTCGACCTTTCGTTCCTTCCAATAAGTTGACCTTCCATGAAGGATAATCAGACCTCCACCTCCACTTTTCGTCCTCAGTTGTGTCCTCTATCTCGACACCCACATAGTCCCACGCTCCGGTTACAATCTTATTCGGAGACGAATTCCCGGTCCACGAGGAACGTTTGTTCCGCGGCGAACGACGAACAGTCTAGATCGCAAGCTACCAGCGATAGCGCGCCCATCCAGCCATCGGGTCTGAGCGCATAAACCAAAGATAATTACAGATAAATCTACGCCCGATCTCACCGGTTTTGCTCAGCTCATCGATCCGTCTTGGTCTATTGGACGCATCATTCGCGGGGTGCAGTGAAGGACGATCAGGCTGACCAACGGGATCATCGAAGCCACAAGGCTGAGAATGCTGTCGAACTGACAACTCATGAGTGCATACAGACCCCGCGTCTTGTAATAAGTGACAGCGCATGTGTTTTGAGCCTCATTTTGGGGGAAGTTGTCGTGATGGGTTAAAGAGAGGTGTTTCGTCTGAAATCTGGCGGGTATCAGCAGGCGTCTTTCGGTGTTAGCACAACATGTCTGTTAGCGATAACTCTACCTTGGATGTGTCGCACGACAATGACGGTTTGGGTGGATACGCGTATGGCACGGGGGATCTAGCAGTCAGTCCTGAAGAGGTCTCGTAAGTTATCCATCACCATTGGATCTCAGTATGGCGCTGATAGTATCATGCAGCCCCTATGCAACCACGCAGATGGTCCCCTTGGAAGTTGGGCCAGAAGCAACCCGCTTCCTCGTTCACGACAGCGTCTTGAGCCGTAGCGAGGTCCTTGCCGCAAAGTCCTATCCATTGGCCTTCGTGAAGCAGTCCGTACTTCTCCCGGAGCTGGACTTGAACACGGCGCACACTCTGGTACACTACCTGTACACCGGCAAATACCAGAGTCTCAACACACTGGCGTCATCCGACAAAGTCATACCCGAAGTCTACAAGCTGGGCGCCGGTGTATACTGCGCTGCGGCGCGCTACAAGCTACCGGGTCTTGCTGAGCTAGCTCAAAACAAGCTCAAGTCTCTCGATGAGGAAATGAGCATCTTCGATATCCTTACCGTAGCGAGAGACCATGCTTTCCCTTTGCTACCGGAAGACGATCTGTGGTATCCGAGCTATGTTGAACAGTCGCTCAACAACGCTATGGCGGACGACCCAGAGCCGTTCCGCAAGCCGGATTTCATTACGACGGTGGAGGGAAACAGCAGGCTTCTACAACTCGTCTGGAAGACTGTGATGAGTAACTACGCTCGAGCGCCTGCGACGCCAGTCGTCAGTAGCGAGGAAGCCACTACTCCAACAGCTGAGATTGTACCGGAGCTGCATGAGCCGGTCAGTGGTGAAGACGCTGTTGCTACGATTGCGCCGCCGAAAGTCGAAGACAAAGAAGAACCATTAGCGAAGCCAGTGTCGGCGCCTGTTCCAGAGGATAAGGTTGCTGAGGCCCCTGTTGTAAACGACGCGATCGCTTCGAAGCCCGCTGAAGAAGTCGCACCGAAGATCGACGAAGCTCAGCCAGTAGAAAAGCCAGCAACGCTCGAGCCCTTCACGGACGAGCTGGACTTCAAATCCTCAAAGACGTACCAGCAGATGGGCAACAGGAAGCCAGAACAGGTCAATACCAGTGATACCGTCTCAGAGGCGACCAAAGCTCCTGTTCACGTACGTTCAGATTCGGTGATGCAGGTTGAGCAGCCTGTGGTAACTCCCACTGATGGAGAGACGAAGACCGATGGTGTTGCGCAAGCGGAAGAAGGGACTGAGCGAGCACTTGCTGATTTGGAGGAATTGGAAGCACTTGGAGCGCAAGGAAAGAAGAAGAGCAAGAAGAGGGCTAAGAAGTTGAAGCAGGGTCTTGTTGAGTAGGATCGTGAAGTGCAGCTGTTTGTTGTTGTAGAGCGCATGTAGCTGGAATTAGCAAGCTTGCACATGTACCTCCTAGGAGTCTGTCATGCACCAATGTTTTAACCAGCCTTCCCTTTTGATGTTAATATAACAGACAGTGTAACTGTTCATTCTGCTACTGATATGAGGCGATGCGGTTGGCAAAGACTTGTCCTGCGTCATGCCCAGGTGGGGTTAGCCAGAACGCACGGCCCCAAGCGCGCTAAAATCGTCCCACCCTTCTCCCCGCGGGGCCTTCCTTCATGCTGCGCTGTCCACTTCTTTGCCTGACATCCGACAACTAACAAGGTCAAATCCCTCCAACCAGCGACTTTGAAGATAGTGAGCATGATGTATCTGAAGGAACGCTATCAGCCCATACATAGCCTATCAAACATCGAAACTATGCATTTCGAGAGGCTTAACGATTCTAGGTAGGGTCTTCTCTATACAAGCGCATCATGTATCAAGATTTGGACCTGTCCTCCTCCGATTCTTGACGAGGAGATTTTTCATCTGCCAGGCAACATCTGCTACTACTAATGCGTACATTTCAGCTCGTAAGGCAACACCTGACTCGCACGGAAATCCGAAATTTCGCGCTCGTCGTCCTCAAGCCGTCGTCGATGTCCTGTCGGTGCTATCTGCCAGGCGCCACTCGATTCGCATAACATTCAAGAATGGATGATTGCATGTAGCCACTCAAATCGCCATCGCCTCTGTCATTTACCAGATCGACGCGGCCCGAGTCATTACCACTGCCCTCCGTATACTCGACTAGAGGATCGCGAGATTCCGGGCCCTCTTCTCCGCCGCAAGAATGATGTATATGTTTCTTGCTGATACCGCCGCACGTCTGCGATACCAACCCAGCCGGGATTGGTCGATCTCACGCGAGTTCCTGCAAGATCTTCGTCTGTACAGCATCAGCTATGACTGGCAAGTGAACAGACAATACAGCACATACCGTGCACGAGCGTCCTGCCGCATTTGCAACATTGCCAAAAGTAGTACATCTTTGAGCGGTATCTGTAGGTCAAACCTATACCCGAAGACAGCACCATGACGAAGATGGTAGCCAAGCCGAATATTGCTTCTCTAGACCAGGGCTCGTTGGGATCGGCGGCATTGAAGGATCGTGTCACTGGAGAGGTCAGCATATCGAAAGCTGCTGCGAAGTTAAGGCTGCTTTGCGCGTAGAATTTGATACCACAACCTAACGAGACCAAGTAGCGATGTAGAAGCAAACTCACTATTCATGGTCACTAGCTGACTGGGATTGAAATATCCAGGTCACCACAATGACAGTAGACTTCTCCTCAATAGACTTGGACGACGAAAGATAACAAGTAACTGGAATCGAACATCCAGAGCTCAGTACATCTCTAGACAAGTATGGTGCTCCTGTAATTGTTATCGCTAAATGATCTAGCGATCAGAGTATGGTTCGTCGGAGCTCTTGGAACGCGAGAAACTGTGATTGGTTCTTTGGCCTCAAAGATCTGTGGCTGGGTAGATGGGGAAGATCGAGCTGATGTGATAATCTTCCACGATAAAGGATGAGCCAAAAAGAAACCAGATACACCTGGATTATTGAGGGGATGCACAAATATATGTTTTCACAGGCTGTCGAATGTTGAAAACAAGGGCAGGAACCTACGGGCGGAAACTGAGTTAAGCCCGCTTGTGCCAGGAACGTGTGGAATAGAAGGTAATAGCATGCGCATGCAATGTTACCAATACGTATCCCCATAGATCCGTAGCCGGCGCCGCCTCATCGTCGGCTGCCGTCACCAAGGGGGTGTGGTCATGTTTCTGATTCGCCGAGGACATCTCGTTCCACGCTGGCCGCTCGCCACTTTGAATGCTCTGACCTAACTCCGTCCAGTCTGACAAAAATTACCGGAAGACACACGGAAAGAAAAACGCAGGCCAGTGTACCCGAAATCGTACCAATCTGGGAATGCGCAAGGCGGTCGCGAGACACCCGGCGCATGTGAGAGGGTGGGATCAGCTGTTAAGAATCTGGGGCCTTGGGATCATTATGTAGCTTTTGCTTTTCTGACTTGACGCGCTGACTATCAATGACTCGTCATTTTTCTCTACGGTTCGCTCAATTACCACTGCGTCTCGTTCTTGTGATACCTAGGTATAGAACATCCACCAAACTCTGCAAAAATGGATCCAGTAGGCACTAAAGCACGGCAAGGTAAACTTCAGAAAGGCTCAAGCGAACCCCTAGTGAACGGACTGACGATTCATCACCTAGCGAAATTCAAAGTTACAGTATTGTAAGCCGGCAAGCGCACTAGAGGCCGAACCGAGTAAGGCGGACCAGGGAGAGTTGCAAGAGCGTTGGACGTGGCTCGTAAGAGGAACAGGATCAACGGAACATACCGACCCAAATCCTCGGCGCTGGACATGCCAGCGATGGACGACGGATCAGCAGGTCAGCGTGCTCTGGGCGACAGCCGTCTCAGCCTGGGCCAAAGGGTAAAGCTTAGTCCGTTGCGACCCGCCAGAAGCCCTCACGGCCGCATGGGGAGCTGATAGTCGCTGCATCTGTCGCCATCCCGCACTCCAAGCGCACATCCGCCCATGGATGCTGGATCGCGCGGACCTAGCCCGATGTTTCTCGAATCCACACCAGGCAGTTGGGTGCCTGACGCCTGCGTAGGAAATGCAAGAATTGGAATAAGTCTCCACAGCCGGCATGGGCTGTTCGGTTGGTGATGTAGCCCGGACGTTCCGCATGCCTAGAAGGACAGCGAACGAACGTAAACAATATTCATCCATGAATATCACCGCGCGATCAATTCACGTATTAGTGGTCTAGCTGCAGCCACTCTAGAAGTTCATGTCAGTTATAGCTTCAGCAAACCAAGAACCCACCGATGGCACTGCCAATTGAGTAGTAGCTCGCAACTCTACACGGTGCAGAGTTCATCCACAACACCGTGATGATGTTTTAAAAGGTCTCTCGAGTGCTTGCTCGAAAGTAAGGATTGGATGACTGTAGTACAGATCTGCGGTAACTAGAGAGGAAAAGAGGGTGCATGTGATAGGGCTGCGCAAACCTGAGTGATGCGTCATAACAATTGTGGCTAGCACTCGCGGGTGTCGCAGTTGCTTCTATACTGCCGCGTTTGTCTCATCTTAGTAGTCGTCTTGAAGACAGGTGAGGATAAAATACACAGAAACCTGACGGAGAAAAAGAAAACAAGTGTGACGGCAACAGCCGCTCAGATCTAAATGGTTGGACCGAGAATTGAACGGTATGTGAAGGTGGGATGGCATTCTGCTTGCGGCGACCTGTGTACTGTTCTGCTTGCTGGGTTAGCAGACCAATGAGGAACAGACTTTACGCATGACAACCCATGCGAGCCGAAAAGCACAAGCGCGATGGCATGAGAAACCCGCGTTATGCATACACAGCTCCGGTTATCTGACGCCAGGAGCGTTGTCACCGAAGCCTTGGGCTGACTTCATTAAGGCGGTGCAGGTAATGTTGCGTGGCAGAACGCCCTCAACGCAACCATCAACGGCTTCGAGAAGGTGATACCAATCGAAGTGGCCAATCAACAAGGGTCGCGGAGGCTTCGCCTTCAGATGCTACCTCCTCTACCCCCAGGCAGCAGAACTAGAGATATTGCTCCGACCAGGGACGGTAGAATGTGGTATGAGAAGTACAAGGCAAGACACATTTAATATACTCATTTCATTCCCTATCCAAATATTCATTCTCAAAGAATCCCATACCTCTCCCTACCCTCAGCGACCCGGCACTTGCAGCAGTAGAGTAAACTCATATTGCACCAGGCGCTCAAGAGGCAAATGGAAAGAAGGCATATGCCATGGCTCAAACCAGCCCATCCGAAACCTTCCCAGCGGACAGGTAACTATTCAACTTCCATATATAAAAAAATATCCTCAAGACATTATCGACTAAAGTATCTCGCCTCGCCTGCTCCGGTGACCAGTCTCGATAAGTGAGGGTTGGGACGGTTGATGCGAGGCTACAGGGGGTATAAGCATCGAAAAGTAAAGAGGTCTAGTAGTGGCTGGTCTTCTACTGCATATCTGCAGTGGAAGGAGCCGCTACAGAGAATCGAAGCCAAGCGAAGGGAACAGGGTAAACAACGAATTCACAAGGAACCGCGTACCGCTAGTTGGAAAGGTTTCACAAAAGGAAATAGCGAAAAAAATCTCAAAAGATCAAGAAACCGCTCAAACGTTCCTCATAAAAGCACCAGTCTAGAATCAAACTTTCTTGATTTACATAGCCATACCAGGGACCGGCTTCCGGGCGGGGATAGGAACGGGTCCGTTGGGGGTGATGGCGTTGGGGTTCATGGGACTGGGACCGGGTGCTGGACCTCGTCGTGGGTTGCCGGCCTGGCTGGCGGAGTTGGATCGTGGACGCCCGCCCATTTGGGGTGGGGGTGCCATCTGGGGTCCGCCGCCGTAGGGACCGGGGGACATGGAGCGGGGTGGGCCGGCGTAGGGCGCGTTGCTGTTGGAGCGGCCGCGGGGAGGTCCTTGTTGAGGAGCGTTGCTGTTGGATCGCATGCGTGGGCCTTGTTGCATTTGCGGGGATGGCATCTGCTGGGGCGACATCTGGCGAGGGGACATTTGACGGGGACCGGGGCTGCCTTGGGGCATGTTGGGAGAGTTCATGCCAGGTGATTGAGGACGCTGTTGAGGACCGCCCGGACCCATGGCTGGGCGGATGGGTGGACCGCGCATGTTACCTGGTGGTGGGGGACCGTTGCGAGGAGGGCCGTTACGGGGCTTGACAGGGTGCTTGGAGAGACATGTGCGGGGGACGACACCTTGCTGCGAGCGGTCCATACGAATGCAGAGAGCCTAGAAATAATTAGTCATCTCGTCAAGTTATGGAAAAAAAGTCAAACTTACCCATCCATCATCGTACTCGTGGAGCATGCGAACCAGCTGACCAGCGTGGAGATCGAGTTCATCTT